GCGGCGAGGGGAGCGCGGCTTACCTCGGGCAGCGGCCGGCAGTACCTGGAGCTGGAGCTGGGCCGCGGGGCGCTGCTGGTGCGGGAGCGCATGGACCGCGAGGCTCTCTGCGAGCTGAGCCCCGCCTGCTTCCTCAGCCTGGAGCTGGTCATCGAGCAGCCCATCGAGGTGCACAACGTGGAGGTGGAGGTGCTGGACATCAACGACAATGCGCCCCACTTCCCCCGCCAGGATTACCGGCTGGACATCAGTGAGTCCGCCTTGCCCGGGGCCCGCTTCCACATCGAGAGCGCCCAGGACCCTGATGTGGGCACCAACTCTGTGCAGAGCTACCAGCTCAGCCCCAGCCGTCACTTTGCCCTGGACCTTAAAGGCTTTCAGAGCGGCAGCAAGCTCCTGGAGCTGGTGCTGCAGCAGCCGCTGGACCGGGAGCAGAGTGCCCTGCAGCAGCTGGTGCTCACAGCTGTGGATGGTGGGGACCCCCCCAAGTCCGGCACGGCCCAGATCTCTGTGCGAGTCGTGGATACCAACGACAACCCACCTGCCTTTGACCGCTCCACCTACACCGTGAGCCTTCTGGAGAACGCCCTGCCTGGCACGCTAGTGGTCAAACTCAATGCCTCAGACCCTGATGAGGGTTCCAACGGGGATGTGATCTACTCCTTTGGCAGCTACACCCCAGAGAAGGTGAGGCAGCTCTTTAGTGTGGACCCACACTCAGGGGAGGTGCGGGTTAATGGTACCTTGGACTATGAAGAGGCATCCTCCTATGAGATCTATGTGCAAGCCACTGATCAGGGCCCTGTCTCCATGGCTGGACACTGCAAGGTGCTGGTCAACATTGTGGATGCCAATGATAATGTTCCTGAGGTGGTCCTGACCTCACTGTACAGCCCAGTGCCAGAGGATGCAAAGGCAGGAACTGTGGTGGCCCTGATGAGTGTCACTGATCAGGACTCGGGGCTGAACAAGCAGGTGAGTCTGCGTATTCCCCCCGGCCTCCCCTTCGCACTCAACTCTTTCAAGAACTCCTACACCTTGATCACCCAGGGCAAACTGGACCATGAGAAAGCAGCAGCCTACAACATCACGGTTACGGCTACTGACTCTGGGAGCCCTCCTCTGTCCTCCCAGAAGGTGATCTATGTGGAGATCTCCGACATCAATGACAATCCTCCACGCTTTGAGGAACCTGTGTACTCAGTTTACATCCCTGAGAACAACCCCCTTGGAGTCTTGCTGTGCACTATCAAAGCCACTGACCCAGATGTCGCCGAAAATGCCTATGTGTCCTATTCTTTACTAGATGGGGAGATCGAAGGGCTACCTGTTGCCTCCTATGTCTCCATTAAATCCGACAGCGGCAACATGTATGCTGTCAGGTCCTTTGACTATGAGACACTAAGGGAGTTCCAGGTGGTTGTCCAGGCCCAGGATGCCGGGATCCCACCACTGAGCAGCACTGTCACTGTCCACATCTATGTGATGGACGAGAATGACCATGCTCCACAGATTCTGTATCCTACCTCAACCAACACTTCAGCAGCCCTGGAGATGATCCCACGCTCAGCATATGCTGGATATTTGGTAACCAAAATTATAGCCATCGATGGGGACTCAGGACAAAATGCCTGGTTGTTCTTCCACCTGGTGCAAACCTCAGATCCCGGTTTGTTCAGGGTAGAGCTCCATACTGGGGAGATTAGGACTACTCGCAAACTGGGGGAGGACAGCACACCTACTTTCAACCTGACGGTGGAGGTGAGAGACAATGGAGAGCCACCAATGTCCTCATCAGTAGCCATCACTGTTGCTGTGGTGGACAGAGTTTCCAAAATCATCCCTGATAGAAGAAGGCACTTTAGAAGTCCAAGCAATTACTCAGAGATCACTCTTTATCTCATTATCGCTTTGAGCGCCATCTCCTTCGTTTTCCTTTTCACAATCATTGGACTTACTGTTATCAAGTGCTACAGATACAGTCTGTATGGGGACTCCTGCTGTGCAGGGTTCTGTGGGGTCAGGGAGCGGTGCCCTGCTGACATGTATAAGCAGGCCAACAACAACATCGATGCTCGGTTGCCCCACGGTTTAAAAGTACAACCCCATTTCATTGAAGTGAGGGGCAACGGGTCTCTCACTAAGACCTACTGCTATAAAGCGTGCCTCACTGCGGGGTCGGGAAGCGACACTTTTATGTTTTACAATACCTGTGGCCCGACAGGAACTACGGGTCCCTCCGCAGTGATGACCGAGAGGCATCTGACAGGACAGAGCGGGCAGAGTGCACAAAACCTGATCATACTTAAAAATGACTCCATTACTCCTAATGAGGTGAGGCTGCGTTGATAAATGGTCAGCACGGTGCTCTGA